ATTCATTTTGCACTATATGGTCAACTGGACGGTTCACTGAACAATTGTATTCATATGCAGTTTCTAAAGCTACTTCAATGAGTGAAATTACACAGCAATATTACCATTGCTCTTGTTTTCAACCACTGGCCTGCTGTGCCCAGACTCAATTACTTACTGGTTGCTGTGATAAGCTGAAATATTGCAGACTGCGGCAGTAATAACATTCACTCACCAACTCTCTCCAACACACCCTCAACCTTCCAAATTCATGCTAGTCTGCTAGGCCGAGACTACTATATTGTGCTGAGGACACGTAAAAGTCCATTGATGGTAGTCCTCATTGACTATTGGCATTTGAGGGTTATCATTCTGAACCAGTTCTCAATGGTGCAACTTTGCTACAAATGGAGCGAAATAAAACGGACAAGAATGTAAACATAGCTTCAAACTATGAGGACTAGTGAAATAAAGTTTGCAAGGACTAAGTATTGAAAAAAAATACTGAGGTTGACCCTTTGTAAGTTACATATCACATATGAAGGTACACAGTGTGTGATTGGGACAGCAGATTGCAGTGGAGTCCGTTAGTGAAGTCCATCAGTGCACTCCTGTCATGAGAAATGTGCAGCGTACCAGGTGTTGAATCATTGATTTCGGATTCTTGAGAGTAGTTCGTGTTGATCCCATCAGCTACTCTGTGAAGATATACTGATCCAGACCACACTGTTGAATAAGGTGGCCAAGTCATTAAATTCAGTCACTGTCGTTAGTTGACATGTTAATGTCTTTGACTAACAGGGTGATAAGACCTCTGATGGTAATGCTGTTTCTAGCACCAGCAGGAATTACCATAGAACTGATGCTGTCTTCACGACACTAAGAAGGGATATTTTTGGCCCAATTCACACGACCAGCCAGGGATATGGGTGAATGAATGTTGTCCTGCACCAGTTGGGCATATTACAGGCATCAGAATGACACTAGCCTGAAACCCAAACAATGATAACATATAAGGACACCACAAAATGAAATTGAAATTCTACTAGCCCCCTTGGCCTTATTCGAGAAAGTGATCTGATCAACAATTTTGTGTGTGGGCCCATAAGACTGTTGGAGTAGGAGAGTTTTGTTAAGCTAGTGGTTGATAGCATGAACAATGACTCACGCAATTCGGGTATGATGACTGACAAATAAGGCAAAATGTAACCGCCAATCCCCCAATGACCAGTATGTACTGGTGGAATCCCAGACAGGGATCCATTGCAGTGTAACTGCCAATCCCCCAGTATTGTGTACAGTATCTGGTGACTGTTCTTTCATGGAATCCACCAGATAGGGATCCATCACAGTCTATGATACGAGGGCTTGATTGAAAGTAAATAATCAAATTTAGATTGTTAGCTGCCTTTGCTTTAATTGTTATTACACAGATTTGAGCTGATATGTGAGATATGTATGAGAAATAATCAACTTTTGATTCCTGCAACAAGAAGAGGAAGATTTCTGTGTTTCTCAATAAGAGTAGACGGAAGACACCTCACCAACGTTTAACAGCAAAATTCTTATATGATTAAGTTATTGCCCAATATATGTTGTTAAAGTTTGGTTCTGAATGTCTGTCACCCAACACACAGTAAAAACTTTCTTGAGCGGTACGACTGCCTCAGTGCTCTAGTGGATAGTGTCTGCCTGGAGAGCAGACAGTACAGTAGGTGGTTCGATACCCTGGGGGGGGGGGGGGTGGAATCAAGGACTGGTCAGCTTAAGTCAGTATGCTGTGTCTGAGTAGGGTTGCACATTAAACTGCAGCATGGATACACAGTGATCTAGCACTATAAAACCAGCAAGTCCTGACTAATACATACACACTCGAACGCACAATACACAATACACCCATACACATCGCTATTAAAGTGAAATAATCTTGAATGTGATGTTAAACCCCATTTAACCTCAATATCAACAGCACTGTAAATATATAGTACTTTACAGAGGGTCCTGATTCAAGATGTCGTGTTCCCTGTGCATGAGATGTCAGTCTGTCTGTCATCAGGTTAGGCCTAATTTGTTAGATTAAATGGATTCTCCACTGTGTTTCTACATCTTTAATCACCCTACTGTACACAATCTTGTATCTAGTCCAATACATTCATGACCTGTAGGCAACATATTTTACTGTACACAAAAAAAGGTTGAAAAATATCGGAAATATAGTTTGTATAACAATCAGTCAATGTCCAGGAAATGGCCCTGAAACCCTGCATTTGGTGTGGTTATTGTCAGGTACTCAATGAGCATGATAAGGTTTTGTGGGGAAATCCACAAATCAAAAAATAAATCATGTAGGTTATCTTAGCAGTCTTAGTTCACTAGCCGGAAGTTGTCATATGTGCAGTAGATTTTTCATTGATATGTGGACTATCATGCGTAGCATACTAGACCATACAACCCTGAAGATCTAAGTTAGGATTGGTCTTCAGCAACCCGTGCTTCTTGTAAGAGGCGACTATGCTTGTTGTTAGAGTATCATGATTTGGTGCAGTTTCCTAAATAACTGCCTGCCCGCCTGCCCGTGGATGGTAACTTTTCTGTCGGGGTGCATGAAATTTTCCTCAACCTACCCAACTATCTGACAGATAATTTTGAGACTACTAGTACTAATGTATTCATTATTGTAGATTCTAAAATAATTGTTTGCATTATTATCCCCCGCCCAACGAAGTTGGCGGGGGATATAGAAACGGGCTCCGTCCGTCCGTCCGTCCGTCCGTCACGTTTCGTTTTCGGAGCATAACTCATAAACCGTTCAAACTTTTTTTTATCAAACTTTGCAGGTCTGTCAGGTACATGCTGAACTGGTGCCTTTTGCTATTGAGAAATTTTAGAATTTTTTATTTTTTACTTTTCCATGGCAACAAGATGGACTTAGGTTCTGTGAGGGTAGGGTTCGTTTCCGGAGCATAACTCATAAACCGTTCAATATATTTTCATCAAACTTTGCAGGTCTGTCAGGTACATGCTGAACTGGTGCCTTTTGCTATTGAGAACTTTTAGAAATTTTTATTTTTTACGTTTCCATGGCAACAAGATGGACTTAGGTTCTGTGAGGGTAGGGTTCGTTTCCGGAGCATAACTCATAAACCGTTCAATATTTTTTCATCAAACTTTGCAGGTCTGTCAGGTACATGCTGAACTGGTGCCTTTTGCTATTGAGAACTTTTAGAAATTTTTATTTTTTACGTTTCCATGGCAACAAGATGGACTTAGGTTCTGTGAGGGTAGAGTTCGTTTCCAGAGCATAACTCATAAACCGTTCAATATTTTTTCATCAAACTTTGTAGGTCTGTCAGGTACATGCTGAACTGGTGCCTTTTGCTATTGAGAAATTTTAGAATTTTTTATTTTTTTACGTTTCCATGGCAACAGGATGGACTTAGGTTCCAAACTCATCTTTTTTTTACAATTTCCATGACAAGTTCCACCTCGGTTAAAAAAGGTTAGGGTTTGTTTAGATTTAATTATGTCATAAATTCTGCAACAGGGGCGGGGGATATAGCCACGTTAGTGGCAAACTCTTGTTTCAATTAAATCAAGACATGATTTGTCTTACTTTTTACAATTTTTCAAATATTTCGAACACTGATTGGGTGGTCAGGCTCACTGACTTGGTTGATGCCTGTCATCTTGTCCCAATTGCATAGTTATTTGCTGATGATGTCAGTTACTTACAGACCGCCATCATATAGCTGGAATATTGCTGAGTGACATTAAATAACAAACAAACAAAAGTAGACCATTCATAATTTTACCAGATTTGGGCTTCAGACTTGTGGTTAAAGTCATAGGCTGTTGTATGGGAAGAAGTTCACACATACCAGTACAGGAATCTCCCAGTGAAATTTGACTATATACAACCAGGAAGGGGCTTTATCAGTAACGTGCAGTAGATATTGTACTTCATTCTGCAAACAATAAATATGCTTTTAGGGCTATATCAGGAACGCACACACCTGCTATTTGATCTCTATTTGCCAAACATAATGTACAAAACCAAATATATTGACATTAGATTCTGGTTTATTGACTGCTGGCTATGTAGCAAAACAGGATGTAATTTCGAAGTCTCTGATATATGCATGTAAATTGATACTTTCATCTGTCAACTCTTAAACTTGTTTTCAACTTGTGGGTTATATTTATTGATCATGTTAATTCTGGACTTCAGTGAGTGAGCGATTGAGTTGCTTTTAACGCCAATGTGAACACTATTCCAGTTATATCACAGTGTGTCGGTTTGCTGTGGCAGGAATTTAGCTCGGAAGTGATGCAAGTCACAAGCACTGGGGTCCTGATAAACCTAGGAACATAATCGGGGCAAACTCGGATTCAAACCCACAATCACAGGTTTCTTGTGTGCCCAAGGGACACAACTCTGCACAGCAGATTGTGGTGCCGCACATAGATGACTGGGCCACCTGTGCCCCCCTTGATTTCAGAATTTTCAGATCCATTTATTGTTACGGTGTTATGTGTCGATTCCCAAATTAAAACAATATGTTAACCCAGAAATCTGTAAGTAACAGAATTTTGTGTGAAACCAACCAACAACCAACAAATGGTATACAAGTAACAATCGTATTACAAAATTAACCAGATTCACATCAATACAAATTACTGCACAGCAATTATAATGACAGTACACAATAGAGTGGTTGTATAATATATAATATAATGGCAGGGGTCAGTTTCAGATCAAAAACACTGTTGATAGCCAAAACTTTGTTGAACTCAACTCTTCCAACCCCTATGGGGACTGAGTGAGCATGTTTTACTGCTTTTAGCAATATTCCAACAATATCATGGCAAGGGACACCAGAAATTGACTTCCCATATTCATCCTCATGTTGGGAATTGAACCCTGGTCCTGGTGTGACAAACACCTGCTTTAACCGAGGGGCTACCCCACCTCATGTTCTGAGTATCTATTCATGGCACTAATGAACATGTTGTCTATCCAGGCGGAACACAGGGAGGACAGCATGTTGGCTGCTCTGAAGCAGGTGGAGATCAAGGGAGACGATGATCTCGAGGACTTCTCCGTGGAAATCAACATTCTGTCTGAGTGCAAACACAGGAATGTCGTTGGATTACATGAGGCCTACTTCTTTGATGGAAACTTGTCTGTAAGTAAAATCATTTATTACTTCAGTAAATAAGTGTCATGGTGATAGATAATGTCCTATTTGAAGAGATGGCAGTATTTTAATGAGACACTGCTCCTATGCCAAGAGTGGCATCTTGTCAACAAGACTGACATCTTTTTTGGAAAATTTATTCTTTCACATTATCATTATGAAACAATATTGTGGCTTTTGCAATGAGACATATTTGTTGGAAAATTCAAATGTGAAACATATTTATTATTTCATATGAATACAGAATACAGAAGTATCAGTGCAACGACAAACCTGAAACCCTTTCCCGGCAGATTCTGTCACACTGGTAAACATAATGGCAGCTATCGCTAATGATGAAAGACCCCTGAAGATTCCAGGGTAGAATAGGTCTTCAGCAACCCATGCTTGCCGTAAAAGGCGACTATGCTTGTCGTAAAAGGCGACTAACGGGATCGGATGGTCAGGCTCGCTGACTTGGTTGATGCATGTCATCGATCCCAATTGTGTGGGTCGATGCTCATGATGTCAATCACTGGATTGTCTGGTCCAGACTTGATTATTCTACAGACTGCCGTCATATAGCTGGAATATTGCTGAGTGCGGCGTTAAACAACAAACAAACAAACAAACTAATGATGAAATAGTACTTGGAGTAGAAATATTTACATCACAATATATGTATTGCCTGAAACCTTCGCTCAATAAACTGATATGTTTGTGTACTGTATTGTACACCTCTACTTCTGCAGAAAATGATAACAATGCTTGTTATGAATAAAAGGACTATACATCATTATCATAAAAACCTATCACAAAGGCGACTCTTTAGTCGCTTTGTTGCAGTATACAACTGTGATAGTTATCCCTGTTGAAAATCAATTTGGTTACAGCTGTATATAACAATGATAGCTAGTTGGTTCCCAAAGAAATGTGTATACACTGACACAGCTCATCATGCTTATCTGACATTGTCATCATCTGGCTTAAATAGATAAATGCTGATGGAAAATAAATCTTTTGACAGCTATTACCAGATGATAGCTATTTGTTTCCCAAAGAAAGAAATATGCACTTAATCTTTTCCTCTCAGAGCCCCATCCATACACAGTATATAGTTTCAAGTGATCATTGCTGGGACATGTTTTCTTTTCTTTTCTTTTCTTTTCTTTTTTTTTGTTAAATGCCGAACTCAGCAATATTCCAGTCATGTGACAGTGGTCTGTAAATAACTGAGTCCGGACCAGAGAGTCCAGTGATTGACATCATGAGTATCTATCTATGCAGTTGATATATGATGACATGCACGCACACACCTGACACATTCAGTTGCCCCTTACACCAAGCATAGATTGGACCTATATTCCGACCATGAAACCATATGGGTGTGCTGGGACACTAGTCCGAGCCATGCCAGCAACCTATGATTGTGGGTTGGAGTCCTTGGTTGTTCAGCACCATACCATTCTTGCGTGATTCCCGAAGTGGGAAATGTCTGAGACTTGCATCACATGCAGATATTCCATGATATAACTGAAATGTTAGTGTACTTCTTGTCAGACTCTACAGGTTAGAATAGTTCCCCAGCAACCTCAGTAACTGTGAGAGGCTACTAATGGGATCGGGTGGTCAGATTCGCTGACTTGGTTGATGCACGTCATCGATCCCAACTGTGTGGGTCGATGCTCATGATGTCAATCACTGCATTGTCTGGTCCAGACTTGATTATTTACAGACCACCGTCATATAGCTGGAATATTGCTGAGTGCGGTGTTAAACAACAAACAATCAAACAAACAAACAAACAAACAAACAGTAAATGCTGGTCATAAGAGGCAACCGAATGGATTGGGTAGTCAGACACAGTGACTTGGTTGAGAGCATGTTCTTGCACCCCGATGGTGTTGATTGATGCTCATAATATCTATCACTGGATTGTGTGGTCTAGACTCGGATTATTAACAGGCTGGCAACGTATAGGTTGAATATTGCTGAGTGCGGTGTTAATAACAAAACAAACACTCGTCAGATATGCAGGATTTGTTGTTGCCCAGCAAGAGATTCGAGAAAAGCTGTTCTGTTCAACTAATACAAGGAGATGTTGTCATGCAGTTAGCCAATAAACATGAGGAAACAGTACTCACCATTAGTGATCAATACGCAGTCGACACACAGCATTACACATAAGGCTCATGTGAACCGCACTTGTGATAATAGCATAAGAACATTCACTGTTATAGTCTCCAATAAGGAAATGTTTAGAGCTATCAATAAGAATTGATGTATCGATTGATATTATTGCATGAACGTTTGCCCACTGTGGGCGAAATGTCCAACATTACGTTTGTTCTTAATACTATTAATACTAATATAAATTGCTGTGTTGTGTGACTAAGAGCTCTGACTCCAGTTGAGAATAGGTCCAGCGCAGCCGATGCTTGTCATGCCAAGTTGCTGAATCAGTGGTTCGTGTGGTCGAGCTCAGTAACTTGGTTCATTGCGTGGCATTGTACCCCAACATTTGGAGATTGTTCATGATATCAATGACTACTTAGTCTGTAACAAATGTTATATTTGGGACAACACTTTCTTGGTAAAGTAAAAATTCTATTACTTTTGTTTGGATTTGAACATACACTTTCAGAGTGAGGCACCTTACCGCCAGCACACAAAGTCAATGATCTAACCAACTCGGACACCGAGGCTTCCAGTGTTATCCCAAATGTAACATTTGGCAACTTTCTAAAAAGGCATTGTGTATTCATACTTTGTCTGGTTGGCCTGGTTGTAGTGTGCAGGAACATTTTTATTTGGTGTATTTAATAGCTATTTTTGTTGGTAATTTACAAGTTCCCCCAAATTTGTAATTTTTTTCCCCCGCACTGTGACATCGTTAGTTATGACATCGCTTATGACACTTATAACATGTATAATGAGAACTGTAAGAGTATAATCTGAGACATCAGCTGGCTTAGATGCGCATCACCAGTACTGGATAGAAGTTACGTTTTTGCGAACTTTATGATTATATATTTGAAGGTAGGTCTTACAGATTATGTTCCCCTTGATGTCTCTATTTTGGCCTAGTTGCTTATCAGTGCAGAAATTGTTGGATTTTTATCGTATTGCATTGAAACAGCCCTGTCAAGGAAACAACAAACAAACAGAATTAACATCTCTCTAAAACTGCAAAGTCTCGGTGTGCCAATTTCAATCAGTGATTCTTTCCACATTGGTAAAATATAAATCCCCTAAGACACTTGATTTTTTGTAAAACATTACTCTCCCTCCCTCCCTCCCTCATAATCAACATGAGGTTCAAGTGTTCACTGATCACATCCTGGTGTCAATTCTTTTCATTGGTACTATATGATCATCAGAAAATGCTGCAATATTGTTATGAGAAGAACTAACCTAAGGCATCTGTTGGCCTTTAAATTTCGACCAACCAGTGCAAATTATCTTGAAAAGTTGGATTTGTTACCATGGTTACCTGTTTTTGGTGCAGAGTTGCAAAACCTATCCATCAGAATATGTGTTGATCAATGAAAAGTATGCATTTTATATCTTTCCTTGTGTTTGATTTGAATGTTAGCACACCCAGACTTTATTAGCATTGTTAATTTGAATTAATCACTGGGACATTTTGACACCTTTGTAAATAGCTGATTATGGACCGTGCAAACCAATGACTGAAGTCATGAGCAATGACATGCAATTGGCCAAGATCACCCAATCCATTTAGTCTACCCTCAAAACCGGCATAGGTTGCTGGGGACCAATCTTACCCAGGAATCCCCACAGAGACCAAGTCTCACGTATAGCTGATTAAAGTCTGCAGTGACATGCTTCTTCAAAATCGATTTATTACATTATAAAACTGGAACCTCTTTCTGAAATCCTAACCTGTCTCAATAAAGCCCTGAGTGCACCACGATATGCAGGTTTTCATTCAACTCAGAAGCATGGATTTCTGCGAGGACAAACACAGATTGAAAGGATCAATTATGGTTATAGAATTTGGAGTCTGTGCTGATTGATTAATACTCTTTCTTAGCCAAATTTGTCCTAATATCATCAACTTGCACTGATCATGAGAATTGACAGGGGACATGCATAAAAGCTAAATGGAGATGAAAATAGGGTAGTAGATTTCATTGTAGAAATTAAGGGGACCCAAAGAAAACATTTAGAAAACAAGAGATGTGAAATAAGTAGGATAAAATGAAAAGGCATCTTCCCGTGACAAGGGAGTTCACTGACCATAAAAGCCCAGTTTCCAGCATGATAAACGAGACTGGAATTTCGAGGCTCGATCGTTGTGCCACCAGTGTCTATTACAAGTTATTTCCTTCCTATTGACCAATTCCACCTCTCGTATCACATACATTTGCTTCAAACAAATTGGCGGCTCCGAGTCAAGACAATCTGATCAAGTTAATCAAAGAAAAGGTTCATGTTCATTGCCTCACAGATATCTTGGCGTGTGCATTGTAGCACAACACTGGAGCACTTCGATTAGAAACATGAATATATTTGGATTATATCAGTCAACGCCCAGTTGACAGTCGTCCTGCACCATGACTGTGGAATATATTTATTTTATGAAAAAATAATAATCTAGAAACGCATACAAAAGTAAGAAGGATATTGTGTAATATAAGATTTCAGAAGACTAAATGTTAGTCTAAGTTGACAGTACACATGTGACCGCCTCCGTGGTCTAGTGGTAGAGCATCTGCCCGGAGAGCGGAACACACACAAACAAACACACACGGGGCGGTCGGGTAGCCCAGTTGTTAAAGCGTTCGCTCATCACGCTGAAGACCTGGGTTCGATTCCAGACATGGGTACAATGTGTGAAGCCCATTTCTGGTGTCCTCTGCCGTGATATTGCTGGAATATTGCTAAAAGCGGCGTAAAACCATACTCACTCACTCACACACAAACACACACACACACACACACACACACACACACACACACATCGCTATTTAAGTACAATAATTTTGGACACGACGTTAAACCCAATTTCACCTCTCGGTACACATGCTTTGCAAATCTTGGAGTCGCCATGTCTTTTACGAACAGGATGTTGATTTCGTTACGAGATTTCGATTGGACTATGCATATACTTGTAAGTCCAGCCAAAATATTACTCGAAATTTCAGGCTAGTTCAGCAAGGGGGAAACAGGAGATTTATAGTCACAAGGTTCATACAGGCTTGAAAAGGCCTTGAAGTTTAGTGTTCCATATGTGAATCTTGAGTCAGTTAACACCCTTGCCTAAGGAAGAAAGGTGAAAGGCGTCACAGATTGAAATTATTTGCTGTTTTAAGGTGTTATCTCATGCTGTCTGACATTGTAAGTCTTGAACTTAATTAGAAAAATGTGAGTGTCACATACTCGAATTCATAAACCGACACATTTATATCTGGCGTATGTCATGTCAGGTTCACTGCACATAGGTGAAAACAATGACAGTTACAACCAAACTAAGTTAGGATGTAATTGAGGGCTAGATATCACTTTGCACCAAGTTCCGTTGCAATTGTGGTTAGTTTGTTTACACAAATTGTTCAAACAGTTATGACCATGTATGAGGGCGTCTTTGTTCTTGGTAACCTTGTCAAACAATGTCATACCCGGTAACTACAAGCACAACACTGATTAACCACGTGGTGAAAATGGCCAGTACGCCAAAAGCAGTCAGAGTACAATCTTCGTCTGTGACCCGACCTATCTTTTCACCTCATTTGTATATCTGTCATTTGGAATTTCCAGCTATTGATTTCATGGGAGTTAGATCTTAAGTTTTTGAAGATAGCAAATTTTTATTCATTCAAACTGAAATTGCCCAATACTGAACAATGGAATTCTAATTGTGATGTCTTGGTGTTATCGTTTGCTGGTTAGTTATTATGATTCAAAGGCAAAGCTACTCGCATGAATTTCCTAATATTTTAAGCCAGGGGTCAACACTAGCGTTAATTTGGTGATGCATTAAGTTCATGATTTCCAGTATTTTATGTGCTGTTGTACTCCTCCATGTAAGAAATTCCCAAAGAAATCCAAGGTTCCCATAACCATGATGACTTATGAGTCTACTAATGCCAAATCATGTCTTTTTGCAACAGTCTGAGTCGATGTTGCTGTAAACATATGCAGAGATTATTATATGAGCATGTGTGATTTTTCGAAATGAGTGTCAGAATTCTTGTATTTCCCGAGCGAGGGTAAACCATGAATTCTTACATGAGTTTTGTAAAATTAGTTTTGACACACATGTGAGTGTCAATTTCTTTATTTCCCATCATTTCTTAATGTTTTTGAGCTCGATCCTGTTTAAGAAAATGCCTTGATCACAACTGCCGTATTGGAAACTTCCCTTGTCGAATAACGTCTTTTCTCATGTGACATCATTCCAACCTTACATTACAATAAGTTTTGAATGACTTCTACAATGCTGTCTGGCTAACGTAAACAATATACTGGTGCATGTGAAGTGATATTTGCTCTGGTGCACATTCAAATTTTAATGACTCTTTCTAATCCTATACCGGGTAGGTAAAAATATAAGGGTAACGCTTTTTTTCAGGGCATTATCATTTGCAGAAGCCTGAGGTCTTCCATTAACTGCTCGACGAAGGAGGGCAGTTGAAAAGACCAAGGGTTTCTGCAAATGATAATGCCCTGAAAAATAGCATTACCGTTATAGCTAAAATGGATGGAATTTGTTATCAAATAAAAATAAAAAGAAACAACAATATCGGTTTTGAAACATTTACTGCAATCAACAATATTTACAAATATGGAAACGTCATATAACAAACCAGATGACGTCACTATTAAACGTGACGTCACCTATCCCTATCCAATGACGTCACCTAACCATGGGCGTGATAATGGTCCGTCATGAAGCAATATGAGGGCATTATTAAGTTACAGTGGCCCGTTCATTTCTAATAACATGCCGACAGTTTAATGATAATTCCATCCATTTTAACATTTGTATTATGAATGAAAGAACATGTATCTGATCAAAACAAGTGTTGCAAGACCCTGGCTTTAGACAAATGGCTGAAGTCACTGAATAACAGCTGTATTGATGGTAGTGTGAGGCTTTATGATGAAGTTATAACACGGTATAATTATATGTGTGATAACCATGAATACTGTTACTATTGGAACTCATTGATGAAGAAAAGCCATCGGCTGATGTTTGTACTGTGTGAAGAACATAGCTCCTTTCCTGTTTTATCCTGATTGTCAGTCCATGGTTATGTTAATGTTCCTGTGAAGAGGGTTCCAGGTGGGAGTTACTGAGCAGATTGTCAGTCCATGGTTATGTTAATGTTCCTGTGAAGAGGGTTCCAGGTGGGAGTTACTGAGCAGATTGTCAGTCCATGGTTATGTTAATGTTCCTGTGAAGAGGGTTCCAGGTGGGAGTTACTGAGCAGATTGTCAGTCCATGGTTATGTTAATGTTCCTGTGAAGAGGGTTCCAGGTGGGAGTTACTGAGCAGATTGTCAGTCCATGGTTATGTTAATGTTCCTGTGAAGAGGGTTCCAGGTGGGAGTTACTGAGCAGATTGTCAGTCCATGGTTATGTTAATGTTCCTGTGAAGAGGGTTCCAGGTGGGAGTTACTGAGCAGATTGTCAGTCCATGGTTATGTTAATGTTCCTGTGAAGAGGGTTCCAGGTGGGAGTTACTGAGCAGATTGTCAGTCCATGGTTATGTTAATGTTCCTGTGAAGAGGGTTCCAGGTGGGAGTTACTGAGCAGATTGTCAGTCCATGGTTATGTTAATGTTCCTGTGAAGAGGGTTCCAGGTGGGAGTTACTGAGCAGATTGTCAGTCCATGGTTATGTAAATGTTCCTCGTGAAGAGGGTTCCAGGTGGGAGTTACTGAGCAGATTGTCAGTCCATGGTTATGTTAATGTTCCTGTGAAGAGGGTTCCAGGTGGGAGTTACTGAGCAGATTGTCAGTCCACGGTTATGTAAATGTTCCTCGTGAAGAGGGTTCCAGGTGGGAGTTACTGAGCAGATTGTCAGTCCATGGTAATGTTAATGTTCCTGTGAAGAGGGTTTCAGGTGTGAGTTACTGAGCAGATTGTCAGTCTAGTTTTTGAGAATCATTCTTGTCATTGATTAAGCACTATCATCTTCCTTTGATCTATTGTCTATTAAACACAATAGACATTTACCCAAATCATCAGCTATTGGAAAAGATCATGGACCATTACAGGAATGTGATTGGCCACTGATTTGTCAATACAGCCTCAAGTAGGCATTTTGGACTTTCGGGGGTAGGGTCACATCCAACAATATAACCTGATTCTATCTGAGTCTATTTGGTCTAGTAAGCTCAGCTAGGAATAGCCTGAGAATAACATTAAAATCTGCAGATTCAAAATGATGCTTTAAGCCAAGGCTAGTAGATTCAAATGTGTTAGGCACAGACTGTTGACCATGTGATGTTGTGCTGCAGATGTTCATCGAGTTCTGTGGCGGAGGTGCTCTGGACAGCATTATGGTGGACCTAGAGAAGCCCCTGTCAGAGGACCAGATTCGCTATGTCCTACATGAGATGTGCAGCGCTCTTGAGTTCATCCATCAGAAAAAGATCATCCATCGGGACCTGAAGGCTGGCAATGTTCTCCTGACCATGGAAGGGGATGTCAAACTTGGTATGTACTTCTTAGAATACAAGAACCAATTCAACTAAGCAATTGTTGTGCCACAACTAAAGTAGGGCAGTTACGTTCACATTAGCGCTACAACTGTCGTAAGCCTATGTTAAAGTTTGGGAGTTGCGTTCAATTTATTGCTACGACTGTCGTAGGCCTATGTTAAATTATGGGAGTTGCGATCAATTTGATGCTACGATTATCGTAAGCCTATGTTAAAGTATGGGAGTTGCGTTCACTTTAGCGCTACAACTGTCGTAAGCCTATGTTAAAGTATGGAAGATACGTTCACTTTAGCGCTACGACTGTCGTAAGCCTATGTTAATTTGTGTTTTGCATTAAGATCAGTTGGTGGAATGGGTCCAGGCTATGATTGTTAAATGGTTGGTCATAGATGAAGATCAGGGTTGCCAATAACGCCCTCACAAGAAAACTAGGTCGTATGAATCCATCTGAATGCCCTGCAGTCACATTCTTGGTCAGTGAAACACAAGTCTGTAATGTCCAGAGGTGAAAATCCTGTGATCTGTTTTCATAATCTTGTGGCATTAATGAGGTGGATTAAGGCATATCAATGACCCATGCTTAACTGGTCAGATCTTGTGGGTGAGCTGTTGTGATTATGTTGAGCCTGTTTGATGCCTGAAGTGGCACAATACGCGTGTTCTTTGTATGCTTTAGGGGGCGTGGTGGCCTAGTGACCCAAGGTGGTATGACAATTTGTACGAATTTATGTCCATGACCTGCCAGGTCCGCTTGTTGGTGCGAATGCCAGAATAACTCAGATTTTGGTCCAAAGTCTGAGAGTACCAAACCCATCAAGTTCTAAATCTCTTCACCTGCATCATTGTGCATGTCTTGCCTTCTGAATAATAGCTATGACAGAACTGAACATGATTCATTTATGACTACTTTATTGCTTGTGTCATTAGCAGCCTTAGAAATTCATGCTTGTCTGATAGCCTGAGACTACAAAATTGTACTGAGGACATGTGAAAATCCAATGATGGTAGTCCACATTGCCTAGTAAAATTGAGAGCTATAATTGTGATCCAGTTCTCAATGCTTCACTTTTGGTACAAATCAGAACTGAATAAAACTGACAGACAAAGTAGAAAAGTTTGTTTCATTCAAGCAGGACGAGCTACAAACTCCAAGGACAAGTGAAAGGTTTTCACTAGTCCCGGGGACTGTCTTCAAAACAACAAATTTCTAAGGCTGCATTCGCTGTGCTATACACTCTCCGATTAGCTTTGAGTTGTAAAAGTGTCAGGAAAAAGAATGTATCTAGGATTGTCAATGAGCAAAACAAATAGAACGGAAATTAAAAAATATAATAGATATTGTTTTGCTGCACATCACCTACACATTTACACTTTGTACATCTTGATATGGTGAATTTATTTATGATCTAGATCATTTATCAGTGGGATAGAAAACCTCTTAACTCCATCAATGTTTAATAAAGCTATAACAGGCCACTCAGTTACATATGAGCCAGGTATTTCGCATTATATCTGGGTGAGGTGATCTTGCTAGATACCTGAGTCCTCCCATACAAGCTTTTCCTGTATGTGTGTGTATATTTATATAGACATGATAGATACAAAGCTGTGACCTGCCCATGGCTGGAAGTAGGTCAGCTGTACCAGGCTGTTCCCAGTTGTTATTCTGCAACAGGCTCATCTGCAGCGACATGCTGGGGTACACCATTTGTATAGATTTGCCAGTGTCAGCCTTAGGCTCAACTTTTCTGCACTGCAATACTGTTTGCAAATAACAGATGTGTAGTGTTGCTGGTTGTGGTTTCTGGATTTACACTTCCATGCTAGCCACCCCTGTTTAATAAAAAATTACATTTTTGAATTTATCTCAACGTGATCTTACAATTTAGTTTGGAATTCCTTCTTTTTCGGGGGCACGGGTGGCCCAGTCGTCTTAGGCACCGCAATTCGCTGTGCAGAGTTGCGTCCCTTGGGCACGCCAGAAACCTATGATTGTGGGTTCGAATCCCAGCTCGCCCCGATTATGTTTCTAGGTCTGTCAGCACCATACCCGTGTCTTCGACCTACATCACTTCAGGCTTTCCTCCCGCATTAAGCTGACTGGAATACTGTTAATGTCTTAAAATATGGACCCAATCTTAAACCTTGAGTACAGTTATTTCTTGTACATCAAGTGTGGCCTGGTCGTCCCTTGTGGGGATTGGGGGTGTCACAATGGCTTCTGAATAAATGAAGTACATTTTGAGCATGGTTGACTGAATGTCTTGCAAGGTCAACAGCCTGATCAAGTGTGTGAATGTCATGGATTTGTGCTTTCTAGGATGGTCATTGTAAAACGAACCTGGGTGTATGCCTCTGTCTGTTTGAAAAAACCCACCCTATAATAAATCACCTGTCCCTTAGAGAGGGGTTTTTTTCATCTGATTTATGGATATGCCAATCTTCAATTTCACAAATGTTGAAATTGCAAGAACAGATTCTTTGTTCTTCCCGTGGAGTGTGTTAAATCATAAGTTATAAATCAACCTTTAGAGAAGATCAATATAAAAAGGGAAGTAACTCTTGTCTATGTCTTTCAATGAACACTTCAAATAACATGTTTCTTCTTTTCATTTATTTTACTTTGCCACATTGACCATACTTTTAATATGTCACTAAAGAAAATGTTTTTGTCTCTCTCTTTTCCAACTACATTATTGTTTTGAAAAAACAAAACAAGTAATGATAAAATGCCTTACATATTGCAGATTCAAATGTTCGGGAGTTTAGAAATTGCTAGCTAAGGCTGAAGCCACATTCCCATCATATCACATTTCCTGATATTTTCTGTATATTTACCCTAGCCTAAGTGAAGGTAGGACTGAAAGTTCAACACAATGCTGCTACTTCATTGGAGACCGCCTCCGTGGTCTAATGGTAGAGCGTCCGCCCGGAGAGCGGAAGGTCCGGGGTTCGATCCCCGACCGCGTCATACCAAAAGACGTTAAAAGCTGGTACTTGTTGTTACCCTGTCTGGCGCTCGGCATTAAGGGGCTAAAACAAGGACTGGTCGGCTCGGAGTCAGTATACTCTGTCTGAGTGGGGTATTCATGTTAAACTGCAGCATGGTATCTCAGTGAGCTAGCACTATAAATCGGCATCAGTCCGGGCTAGTACAAGCAGCCACACAAACACACACACGTACATGCACGTCACTATATAAGTGCAATAATCTTGGACGTGACATTAAACCCCATTTCACCTCACCTACTTCATAGATATTACTTCCCTGATCAATATTAACATAGAAAGTTACAGGCATAATTTACAACAGTGGCTAGTTTTCCTTGCAGTCAAACTGATTACCATATGCGACGTAATAAGCGCCCAGGGCGCTCTCAAAATTAGAAATAGGAACTAGAATGTAATTTTTCTGCATACTGTGATACATTATATTTTGTTAGAAAATATGTATTCATGTTTTTCTATACTAATTATGATTGAGTCAGTATCTACAATAAAATAAATCAACGAATCAATGAATCAATGAATTTGTACAACACAAGTAGATGATATCTACTGTCCAGAGCATTCTAAAAGTTTCATCATTATTATGTTTAATATCAACATTATCTTTTACCCATAGTCCCGTGAGGATTCCAAATTAGAATTGGTCTTCACAACCCATTCTTGTCGTTAGAGGCGGTTAACAGGATCAGGTGGTCAGGCTTGCTGACTGGTTGGTGCATGTCATCGTATCCCAATTGCGTAGACTAATGCACATGATGTCAGTCATTGGATTGTCTGGTCCAGACTCGATTATTTACAAACCGCCGCATATAGCTGGAATGTTGCTGAGTGCAGTGTTAAACAACATACAAACTACCGAGGATGAATGCAGGTTGGCTCCAGCCCCCTCCCCAGACTTTCACAAGCCTCTAAGGCAATAATTATTAGTTTAAATCATAGGTTCTAGATTATGTAAATAATAAGAACATGTTGTCCCTATAAGAGGCTATAACAAGTTGTCCCTATAAGAGGCTGGAGTTCTGTCAACATATCTGGATTTGCCTATTAAGAGGATAGTATAACTACACATCAATGGACTTTTCTTTCAGTTACAGCCTTGGAGCAAGGCTACCCCTCCCCTGTGAGCATGTCTGCCCAGGTCTGTGACAGGAACACAGGCTGTAATGCAGTGTATGACCACACCCCCTTCTTCCAATGGTAGCTACCAACCATTCTATCCTAGTCTGACTTAAATGTTCATCTATTGCAGCTGACTTCGGAGTGTCGGCCAAGAACACCAAGACCATGCAGCGCAGAGACACCTTCATTGGGACACCCTACTGGTGAGATGGATACACTGCAGCATCACTGCTTCACATCGCAAGAACCCTGTTGGATTCCGGGTTAAAATTGATACCCAGCAACCTTTGATGGTCGTAAGAGGCGACCAGATGGATCTGGTGTCCAGGCTCAATGACTTAGTTGATTACGTGTCATCATACCCTGACATTGTGGATCGATGTTCACTATCAGTCATGGGATTGTCTGGTCCAGACTTCATTATTTACAGACTGCCATCATACAGCTGGAATAATGCTGTTTCATGAATAGGTCTTCAGCAACACGTTTGCCATTAAAGGCGTAAGAGGCGACTAACGGGATCAGATGGTCAGGCTTGCTGACTTGATTGGTGTATGTCATCTTATCCCAATTGCATGGATCGATGCTCATGATGTCAATCACTGGATTGTCTGGTCCAGACTCGATTATTTACAGACCGTCATCATATAGCTGGAATATTGCTGAGTGCGGCATGAAACAACAAACCAACAACAACATGGCAATCACTGAGTTTCCACTCATTGTTGATAACAGTGGAATTCATTCAGTTCCAAAACAATAACAATATTGAAGAATACAGGGTTTGTACGAACTCCTGAACTTATTTATAATTTACAGGGCTCCAAAAAATATTGAAGGTATTGAGTATTTATTCACAAGTGATCATTCACATTGGGTATGAGTAGTTTTCTTTTGGTGTTCAATATGCTTTATTCCCTTGGGCCCAGTCTGTTATAGACCAATATTTAGTAGAATTCATGTATGTGTGGTGCCTGTATTTAATCAGTAAGAAAAGACCTTTAAAAAAAATATAGGTACACAATTTGAAAAGGATACACTGGGTAATTGCTCACAGTGTTGATGTACAATTGGGTTTTGAAATTTATCATGCATTTTTGTATTCAAGCAACTCAAATTGGCAATGCTGATTTATTTTGCGTATTTAATGCAAATTCACAGGTTATCTCAAGCTCTGAATTTAGTTGTGTTTCTGTGTGGAGAACAACAGGGTTACATGGCTGGTGGCTGCATTGTTTCACTTCCTGGTTTACCTCGTGGGTCAGGCCCCCACTCATGTTGATGCTTGGTGTAGTCGGCAGCCAGATAGGCAGTTGTTTACAGGGAGATTGCACAGCCTCATTCTAGTTTTGTGAAAGGTCAAGTACATGGTTGTGTACATGCTGTTTGTTATTTCTGTGTAGAATCTACAGAAGATTAAAAAGACAAATTCTAGTCAGATTTATGAATTAGGTAACATTGGACAGTGATATGTAGTATTTGAGTAGTATGATTGACTCTCATCATCACAAGCATGAGACATTATTATTATTATTATTATCAGGATAGGTCACTGATGGTATGTTCATTACTCTCATGGGGATGTTTTGGAGCTTACCTATGTTACCTTTAATATGTAGGCAGTCATCTTTGGATTAAACTTTTGACACAAGTTGCAACACAATTGTATTCCTTTTGAATGTATTATAGTACCTTTCTGAATGGCATTTAGAAGTTGGATATATTATATCTAAGACACCATTTACATGGATGAGCAACTTTGTTACAAACCAGTTTGACTATCGCAATTAACATCTCTAATAAACAGGGTTGTTTATCTTTAGAATCGTGTTTTATTGCAGGAATGCATAAGTACCTGTGGGCTAATACAAATTTCCCAATTCCTCCATTTTTTTTAACATTACAAGGACATTTTATCTTTAACCGGGCTAGTGAAGCTTTAGAGTTTAGTTCTAACCCTGCTTTCTTGTGTATAAAAGACTTGATTTTATGAATTTTGTAAACCTGATTATGTCTTCTTCCCATCCAGGATGGCCCCAGAAGTGATCCTGTGTGAAACCCTGAAAGACACACCATATGATTCTAAGGCCGACATCTGGTCTCTCGGTAAGTAATGAGAGACACACCATCCAAATGCAACCTAGAAGTTATGGCATTTGCTTGCTATGCTGAAAACCCAGGTTCGATTCCCACATAGGTACAATGTGCAAAGCCCCTTTTTGTGTCCCAGTCGTAATATTAATGGAATATTGCTAAAATGGCATCAGACACATAACAATCACTCAATGACTAACTATCCCACTGTAAATGTTCCAGGTGTCACTGCTATCGAATTTGCTCAGATCGAGCCCCCTAACCATGAGATGCATCCAATGAGGGTCCTCATCAAGATACAGAAGTCCGACCCACCTCGGCTAGAAAAGCCTGGCAGATGGTAAATATGGAAATCATTACAAGTCACACAGCTATAAACAGGATAGTCTTTCAGATTATGAACTTGAGTTTCCCACTGAGGAATCCTAGGTGGGAAGCTGTGACAGGAGGAGCTTGTGCAAGGAGGTGGTGATCGTAGGTTTGAGGAATCCTGGGTGGGGAGCTGTGACATGAGGAGCTTGTGCAAGGAGGTGGTGATCATAGGTTTGAGGAATCCTGGGTGGGGAGCTGTGACAGGAGGAGCTTGTGCAAGGAGGTGGTGATGGTAGGTTTGAGGAATCCTGGGTTGGAAGCTGTGATAAGGAGGAGTTTGTGCAAGGAGGTGGTGATCGTAGGTTTGAGGAATCCTGGGAGGGAAGCTGTGACAGGAGGAGCTTGTGCAAGGAGGTGGTGATCGTAGGTTTGAGGAATCCTGGGAGGGAAGCTGTGATAGGAGGAGTTTGTGCAAGGAGGTGGTGATCGTAGGTTTGAGGAATCCTGGGAGGGAAGCTGTGACAGGAGGAGCTTGTGCAAGGAGGTGGTGATGGTAGGTTTGAGGAATCCTAGGTGGGGAGCTGTGACAGGAGGAGCTTGTGCAAGGAGGTGGTGATCATAGGTTTGAGGAATCCTAGGTGGGGAGCTGTGACAGGAGGAGCTTGTGCAAGGAGGTGGTGATCGTAGGTTTGAGGAATCCTGGGAGGGAAGCTGTGATAGGAGGAGTTTGTGCAAGGAGGTGGTGATCGTAGGTTTGAGGAATCCTGGGAGGGAAGCTGTGACAGGAGGAGTTTGTGCAAGGAGGTGGTGATCATAGGTTTGAGGAATCCTGGGAGGGAAGCTGTGATAGGAGGAGTTTGTGCAAGGAGGTGGTGATCGTAGGTTTGAGGAATCCTGGGAGGGAAGCTGTGATAGGAGGAGTTTGTGCAAGGAGGTGGTGATCGTAGGTTTGAGGAATCCTGGGAGGGAAGCTGTGACAGGAGGAGCTTGTGCAAGGAGGAGCTTGTGCAAGGAGGTGGTGCTCGTAGGTTTGAGGAATCCTAGGTGGGGAGCTGTGATAGGAGGAGCTTGTGCAAGGAGGTGTTGATGGTAGGTTTGAGGAATCCTAGGTGGGGAGCTGTGACAGGAGGAGCTTGTGCAAGGAGGTGGTGATGGTAGGTTTGAGGAATCCTGGGTGGGGAGCTGTGACAGGAGGAGCTTGTGCAAGGAGGTGGTGATCATAGGTTTGAGGAATCCTGGATGGGGAGCTGTGACAGGAGGAGCTTGTGCAAGGAGGTGGTGATGGTAGGTTTGAGGAATCCTAGGTGGGGAGCTGTGACAGGAGGAGCTTGTGCAAGGAGGTGGTGATCATAGGTTTGAGGAATCCTAGGTGGGGAGCTGTGACAGGAGGAGCTTGTGCAAGGAGGTGGTGATCATAGGTTTGAGGAATCCTGGGTGGGGAGCTGTGACAGGAGGAGCTTGTGCAAGGAGGTGGTGATGGTAGGTTTGGGGAATCCTGGGTGGGGAGCTGTGACAGGAGGAGCTTGTGCAAGGAGGTGGTGATCATAGGTTTGAGGAATCCTAGGTGGGGAGCTGTGACAGGAGGAGCTTGTGCAAGGAGGTGGTGATGGTAGGTTTGAGGAATCCTGGGTGGGGAGCTGTGACAGGAGGAGCTTGTGCAAGGAGGTGGTGATCATAGGTTTGAGGAATCCTAGGTGGGGAGCTGTGACAGGAGGAGCTTGTGCAAGGAGGTGGTGATGGTAGGTTTGAGAAATCCTGGGTGGGGAGCTGTGACAGGAGGAGCTTGTGCAAGGAGGTGGTGATCATAGGTTTGAGGAATCCTAGGTGGGGAGCTGTGACAGGAGGAGCTTGTGCAAAGAGGTGGTGATCGTAGGTTTGAGGAATCCTGGGTTGGAAGCTGTGATAGGAGGAGCTTGTGCAAGGAGGTGTTGATGGTAGGTTTGAGGACATATTGCACCAGTTAGGGGTGATTCTTGAAGGCACTTGTACTACAGAAATAGTATGGCAAAAAGTCAAAAACAGTATTCCTATACTATTGCTTATAGGTACGACTATTGTGATACAAATGCGATAGATTGATGAATACCTTTATAGTCCTACAGGTAGTTGTTTGCATTTTTCAACATAATGGCAAAGGGCAACATGTCCGCCGAGTCCTTGATTAAGCAGATTGCTTGGGACATTTAAGGGAGTACAAGTATGTATCTGAATATCTTGTGTCAATGTATCAACCTTTTCTGAATGGATAGGCACATCTCTTCATACAAGTTGTATAGAAATGAATGGAAAATGATTAACAGTATTTTAAATTTGTTTATCTATTGGGTGTCATATTGATAAAGAGGCCACATCAGTGTTAGATATTGATCTTCGTATTGTGAATGGGCCATGGATAATTGGAGTGCATGGATACGTCGGTCAATCATTACACCACTTGTATCGATGCATCAACAACATGAAATTACTAGCTCACAGTATCGCTGTTTTGAGTTGGGTTGCAAAAAAAATAAATTATTATGTGAGGAAAATTATGATGTGTATGTATTTGTATATGTCTTTTGAATTTCTTTTCAGGTCAAGAGAATTTAATGATTTTGTTGGTAGATGTCTTCAGAAAGCACCAGGTCAGAGGCCTACAGCAACAGACCTTTATACTGTAAGTCACAGAAATTGAGTAGACAGACAAACATGTTAATTCTTTCTCCATATGCCACCAATGTGCAATTGGCCATTACAAGAATCTTCAATATTTTCACTCAAACCACATTTACATTTGTCAGACATATATGTTTTTGTGTGTGTCTTTGTAAATGTCGTGCTTGTGAATTGAGAAAAGGTTTACTACTAACTGTTTCAAAAATAAATTTACATCTGTGTGCAGACAAACAGAAAAGTACCCAACTTCCCCCTTACATTCTTACTGTACTTCATTACGTGATAGTTGAAATGACATGGAAATTTAAATTGACAACAACAATTTACCTGGAGGAAGAGTATTCGCGTCACAACAGTGATAAATCCTTTGTAAACATGACAGTGGGTTGGTTGCGATTGCATGGTAGTAAGTCCGGCACAGTGAGGAGCTGTGACAGGTGGCAACGATAGTATAGAGAGCTCTGCAAACGGGCTATCTCTGTGAGGAGCTTGGGTATGGAGGTGGTGATCATGGATTTGAATCCCAGGTTCACCTTAATTATGATCTTCATCACTTTAGGCTTACCTCCACTGAAGACAGAATAAGTTTTGCTTACATTGGTACAATATGTTGACCTCATTTTTTATATCGCCTACACTAACATAGCTGGAATGCTGCTAGGAATAGCACGAAAACTACTCCTATTCACTCATAAAGTTAAGGGATAGTCCTAGTCATCTAAGATGCTGCAATTCGCTGATTATATTTCTATGTTTGTCAGCACCATACTCATGTTCATGGGTTTCACCAAAGTGGTAAACATCTGAGACAAGGATCCCATTGAGCTGACATACCATGGTATAACTGGAATACTGTTCAAAGCGGTGTACATCCCAAATCACTCACTCATTAGGTTCAATACAATGTTTGACCTGTATTCAAGGATAGGTGAGGTGAAATGGGGTTTGGGGAAATGGGGAATCAGGTCAGTTTGATGAAGCTAATAGAAAAAGCTTCCTAAACTGCTTGTTATTTCAGCACCCCTTCACAAGGAACTTCACAGACAAGAAGCCTATTCTGGATCTCATCCTCGAGGCCAAGGCTGATGTTATTGAGACTGTCACAGACCTTTCAGAGGAGGAGGATATCAAGGAGATCAAGGTAAGGGAGACAACTCTGTTATGTGTTCCTATTTTTTCTTGCCTGTTTGAAAGAATGGGATTCTTCTTCTTCTTTTTTTGTATCTATGAAGATGGTTTCACATTGTTTTTTGTACAGATATTGTTTTGAGAATGCTGTAGTCTTTGTTCTGAATGTTTATCATCAAATTTAAGATGTTGGCCTTAACACCTGCATGTCAGACTTTCTCACATTAGTGTTGTTCGTGCCAAGAGAAGAATGCTTAAACCTCAGCACCCAACACAGTGATGTTATGTTGAATAACCCAGCAGCTTACTCTCAGTATATGTTCCGGGACAAACGATTTTTATTATTTTAAAAAATAGTTCAAATTCATTTCACAGAAGTTACCATACTTTTATAGATTTATTCAGAATTCAATGAAAAAACAACAACTTTAAGTTCAGTTAAATGAACTTTTAATTTGGCAGATGATATTTTGAAAAGCAGAGATTTTCAGATGACACTCCCGCCTTTGAAGTGATTCTTCTAAGATTTAGCAGTTAGATATATCAAGCTATGATCAAGACAATTCCAAACATACAAATACTATCAGAAAAAGATGTTGACAAATCTACAATTTTGCTGAATGTAAATGGCCCCCAATTTGTAATAGGCAGCATATTGCATGCTCAACTAACATATTTGATTTATAGATTATGTTTGAATATTTTTTCATTTTGAAATATACCCCAGAGGTTATATTCCAAACTGTTTCAAAAGTAATAGGATACTACCCCAGTAGGTAAATGCATTGTAATATCCAGTGTTTGAAATGAGGAGTGACAATTCAAGGGACATTTTAAACTAGTCTGTGAAATTTATTTTATAATGGGACACTTTGATACTGATTGACAATAAAGAAGGATTTATATCAACATATTGGTTTAAAGATAATATTATGTCACGCTTGATGGCACAAGTAGCTGTGATCATATCAATTCCTTGATAATTACTTATAATTATAGGTATTGGCTATATTATTTTCCAGTTCAATCAATCATTTGTGTATACCACAAACAACCTGGTAGCTTGAAGACATTTAGTTGAATATTTGGGTCAAACTTGTTTTCCCTTTCAATGTTCTGTACCAATAGGAGATGAAAATATCCCAATATTTCAATATAACTTGTGTAAAGAAATTTGCTCTCAGAATTTGAGTTTGGAAATTGTTTACATCTTTATTATTAATTATGATTCTTTAGAAAGTTATGGGGATCATCTTTAGGCGAATGAAACACCTGTGCACTTTAGTGGTTTCTAACAGTCTCGCTATGAGAAGTAAAACATGATCACAGTGTCTTTTGCATTTGAGCACATTTTACGACATTATTTGAGGATGACTACTTTAACATGAGGAAACAATAGCTGCCAAATTGGGGGAATTGTTCATTTGAAATTGGATATTCAGCTGAAAAAACATTATCCTTCTTGAGCAAGGTTCCTAGATATGACAGTGTCAGGTGATTTGGGGCCCTCTGTTTTCCAACACTGAATATCTCTGTGGTGAGGTATATGACGACTCTTTCTGTATATTCCCAGTTAAGCTTATCCAAAGATGAGGGTGCTGTTGAGGACATGTTGGAGGAGGAATCCCAGGTATTCTGGTGTTGCCATGGCAATTTGGATCATTTTATTGTGAATTTAACCTTTTGTGTGTGTTTAAGTTGCTTGTCTCACACTCCCTTCTTCCCTTTGTTTCAACAACACTATGTAATGGAACATCTGTATCTTAAAAATAAATGACTGGTCAAAATTGTTTTAGCCCAGACCAAGTTAATTCCATGTTTTACATATTTTTGTGGTTAATATGCCATAGAGGTAGAATAAAGAAGTGTTTTGCTCACATGATATAAATATCCTACAATAAAATGGAAAGGGCATTTTATCAACTAAACAGAAACAAATGTTGAATAGTTTAACCTCAGCAATTGTTTTTTGTATATTTATCTGTAAAACCCAAAATTAATTTGGTCTGGCAATATTGAAAATGTAATGATTTTTGGAAACCTACAAACACTTTGCAGTGATGCATGCTGAAAAGTAAAAAGTATTTTGTCTTTAGCCTCAGGAGAACTAGGACATCTCTATTACTGCTCTTTTGGACGGTTCTGTAAAGTTTTGTAAGATAGGAGTAAAATCTAAAGGAAAATAATTACATTGAATGTTCAGCATGTAGTGAACAGTAATGCAAGCAGTGAGGCTAACATTGTGTTGTAGAAAATCGATGAATATCAGTGAACTAGATAAACAAAAACTGCAGTTTGGTGCTATTGTGACAGAAACAGAAATTTCTTTGTTTACTTGTGTGTTGAAATTGTTGTTATTCCTTTACTTTGCGTTTTCTATCACTTACGAATGCTCACTTTCATTGTTTCATTTGCACTGACTGTGTGTTATATATTGTTCTGTTTTATCATTGGAACCAACCCATTCATCTTTCATGTGGCTGAAACAGATAAAGGGAGATAATTCAGACAACAATTATCTCCCTTTACCTTGTGTATTAATCTTTGTTTGAATTCATATTTAGCTTAAAATTGCTTCTTTTTGAAAAGAAATAATTCATTATCTTTTTTAGAAATGTTCCTTCACTCAACAAAATTAATTTACAAATTTACTTTTCATTATTGTTTATATACATATATATGTATATGTTTATGAAATAATGTATGTATGAATATATCAGTAACAAAAAAATGACCCCCTTTTCTTATTGCCTTCTTGCACCTGAAGGACAAAGCTTTGATTATGCAGGTAAATTAATGTTGTAAAGTGTCCTCTGTTTGTTAGTATCTACACAACGACTTCATGTGGGTTCCGTGTTCTTATAGCAGTTTTCATTCTTGCTCCCCACACCTTTTATTGACCCCTGTGGGTGACCAAATTGAGGAGGTGGTCAGGCTCAGTGGCTTGGTTGATTGCTTGACACTTTTTTTGCTAGTAAAGTATATGGTTTGTATCTTTAGAGAAATCCAGTTACGTAATCCTGATAATGTCATAATGTAGTATGGTTGGTCTCCAGTTTATGAACCTTCTGTTTGGAAACTTATGGATGAATATATGTCTGAGAAAATACCCATATGCCAAAAGCAAAACCTAAGAGACAACAGTACCTCAGAGATTGCATCACAAATGAACTGAAGACGTGCAACCTAGTCTAATAACATGTATGTCATTGTAGTAAGATTTGTTCATGAAAGTCAGGATATGTTTTGGTCTGAGTGATTCAAAAGATTTAGGCACTGAGTAATATACATGCACTTCTGTATGTACAAAGGTTCTATCAGGAGACATCCTTGTTATCAGTGACAGCACTAACTATGTGCCTGTCGGGACTCCTTCTTGGAATAGGTCCCAGCAAACTATGCTGGTTGCGACATTTGACCAAATGGTTCGGTAGATCAGACTCAGTGACTTGGTTGATGGCGTGTCTTTGTACCCTGGTGGCGTGGATTGTTGTTCTAAATATTACTGAATTGTCTTGTCCAGATTATTGAAAGGCTACTATCATTTAGCTAGAATACTGCTGATTGTGTCATTAAGAAACGAACAAAGTGCTAACTATGTATAGATGACCAATCTTATACTTCAGTAGTAGCTCTGGCCTACATTCCTATACTCATTTGTTCATCTTAATTTCTAGTAGTTGCCTTTTTAACATTTCCTATCATTTGTCTGCAAATTGTGTTCTAATTTATTGTTGAACTTAACATTATTAGTTAGAGATAGAACTTTAGAGTATATTTAACGCTAGAATTGTAGTTTACTGTTTTGCACAGCTAAGTGTTCTGTTGGACAGATAGATTCATTAGCTGGATTTGAAGATGGTGAAGTCATGAATTATAGTTACTGTTATGATTCATTACAACATTTTATTGCCCAAACACTTATGCATGACTGACCTCGTGCAATTGTCAGCCAGGTTTCACGAGTGTCGACTTGGGGCACCCAAGTGGTAAACTGATTGCCATTGTATGATGTGTAAAACCATACTCACTCACTCACCCATTTATAGAGGATGTTCATGATGTCAATCACAGGACGGCCTGGTCCAGACTCGATTATGTACATATAGCTGGAACATTGCTGAGTGTGGCGTTACGTAGATCACTTCCTGCAGAGATTCTGGGGCACAATAGGTCCCCTGTCCCCTGTAAGAGTTAGCTAAATGAGGATCAGGTGGTTTACCTTTGCAACCTATGCTTGTCGCTCAAGAGGACTACATGGCTTGGTAGGTCAGGTTCCTTGTCTTTATTGATTGTGCATCTTTGTACTCCAATAGTGTGGACATTGCTCATAATATCAATCATTGGCTTGTCTGGTCCGGACTTTGTTATTTCCAAGTCGACATATTGCTGGAATATTGTCCAGCGTTGACCAAACAAACGTGTGCAATGTGTGACCTGATTGTTTGTCATCATACCCAACTGCACATGCTATCCATCGGCTGTAGTTTGCCTGGCTCAGACTGAGTACTTACAGGCCACTGTGTAATATCGTTGAAATATTGCTGACAAAGGGTTATAACAGTTATAAAATATAAGACCACTTGTTGCAAAATGTACAGCCGTACAGCCGTATCAAAACCTTTTGACCTGATATCAGAGTATCAAATCAGTGTCAGTGTTGGGAATTATAATTAGTTTGAAGGGAAGTGGTAAGACTTTTAATGAGAATATGCTACCTTTCATTAGTCAAATTCTTTGTTACATTTTATACTAATGGCTGCCCTGGATTTGGCTGATTTTTATTGAAACTATTCTTGTTTTAACTTTTGATTAAATCCTTTTTCAACATTCATTTACAAATTAATACAATGTATCCTGATTTCTGATGTTACCAACTTTATATGAAACTGTAGATGTCTGTCATCCTTATCCCTTTTTTTTCTCAGAATATTGACACATCATAACATTGATCTAGAAAAACATTAATATGAGATGTGAAATTCACCTGAAAAATATTACTATTATAAACCTATATTAATGAAATGAATCAGAAATTATGAGGTATGTTCATAAAATGAATTGGAATTTATTGACAGAAAAAAGAAGCAGTTTAATCCGGTGAAATTCCCCCAACAGCCATTGTAACCTGATCCCTTATTGGATACTTGTTACTGTTGGTTTTGTGTGTTGAATGTTTCTAACATTATCCCTGATATCAGCAGTACATCACAGGGTTGTATACACTCTGTTCACCATCATCCATCAGTGATACATTTACTTGGCCCTGGGGGGAGTCCAGGTGGGAACTGGTCCGAGCAATCTAGGCTGGTCACAAGAGGCAACCAAGATCGGGTGGTTGTCATCGTATTCTGACAGCAAGGGTCGTTGTTACAATATCAAATCAAATCATCTGGTCCAGACTCAATTATTTACAGGCTGCCTTCATATAGCTGAAATATTGCTACCTTTGATAAACAACAAACAAATATTTACAAGGCCAAATAGTGGTAACATTTAAGAATGCCCACTAAAAAGCCTGAAATTCTATGGGATACCTTTAACATAAAAGTAAAGGGACTCTGGTTAGCGGGCTAGTGCAAATATGTATTCCTGCCCATGAAAACATAAGGCTACTTTACACTGTTGAGGGTTTTTTTTAACCAAGCTCGGGCCTGCTTCAAGTAAAAGGGATGGTATAAAATGCTCTGACCAATGAGAACTCGGATTACTTGTCATAAACAGCAACGTTTCTTGCTTGACAATGTGTGTGATATGGGCTACAATATTTTGACAATCGACTATGCACATTGCTCTAGTATTGGGCATTGGTAGGTTTTTACAAAATCTTGATGTAAGGTGTTGGGCTGATTTTACTTACGCGAGTTGTCCACGGCCTCATTTCATAAACTCTTAAGACGCTTATCACCACTACATCCTGTCACTGCCGAATATTTGCAGTAATCCATGTGTGATGGAGAATTGTAGAGTATTCAAGCCTGTGAAGTACTGACAATGTATCCCTTAATGTAGTGAGCATTGCTTCTTAAATGGCAGAAATTGCCACAATGCTCTATTCCAACCTTTTAACCTGTCTGTTCACCTGTTGAATGACCTGCATGTGCTTGAAACCTTTGGCTGCACTGTCAGACATATAGGGTCAGAACACTAACTCTGGTTGTCTGTTACAGAGGCACATGAGTGACGACTCTCAGTCCATCGACTTGGACAACATCTCCAGCTGCAGCGGAGACACCGACAAGCATGACGACAAGGATCGGGATAAGGTAATGTTCAGTCACAAAGAAGACCTGTATGAGTAGGTTTGGTTAGGAGGTTTGTATAAAAAAATGGTATGCATTCTGTGTAAATCTGTGACTCTCGATTCAAATACTGAGTGAGGACCTCATTTTCCCAAGGACAAGTAGTGGGGCGATACATCAATGCATAGGTGGACCGCAATTTTTTACTTCTCAATACAAGTATCGATCACAGTTACACACTAAGATAACAATATTCTAAGATAACAATACCCTAAATGTTTGCTTTAATAATTTTTACACTAAACAATGAATAAGTAGTGAAAAAGTAAATATTTTCATCCATTGCGCCATACTTCACACTGCCAACTCTAAATTGTCAATGTGTCAGGTATTTGTCAATCCTCTCTATGAAACAGATGGCTAACACACCTTAGATAAGAGCACATGCAAGTATCGTGATATGTATCATATCGTGAGCAAGGCATCAAAGGACTATCAAAGGATGCCACGTGTATTGTATGGTACTAGCCATTGAATGTGAATTAGTATCCACAGCAGTGCTGTGCTGTTTCAATAAGTGCTGCACTTGTCTTGTCACTTGTCACTACCTGGTCTTGGACAGTATAATTGTAACAGTCTCGCCTATCAGCTTCATAATAAGGCAGCCCAATTGTGGTACAGAGACACTGGTAGCCCAGTCATCTGAAGCACTCAATTTACTGTGCAGAGTTATGTCCCTTGGGCACACTAGACACATTGGAATCCAGGTTCGGCCACATTATGTTGCTAGGTTTGTCAGCCCCATACCCATCATTACTGCGGGTTTTCTTCCCACATCAAGCTGACATGCTGTGATATTTACCTGAAATACTGTTTAAAGCAGCGTTAAGACCAACTCATTCACTTACTTGTGGAAGGCGCAGTGTGCAGAGTTGCATCCCTTGGCCATGATGGAAAACTATGGTCGTGGTTTTGAATCCTGACTATGTTTGTTCACACCATACCTGTGCTTGTTGGTTTCACTGAAGTGGTAAAGGTCTAAGATGTACGACACTTTAGACTTTCCTCCCTTGAGCTTGACACACCATGATATAACAGAAATACTGATGAAAGGCAGGGTATGAAACTCCCCAAAATTTCAGCCAGACCACAGGACTGGCTAGCTGAAATACTTGCCAGCCCTGACCAAAACCTGCCTGCCCACTATAATCATATGTTTCTCAGGATAAGCTAACAGGGTTTCTTTTTGGTTACATTTTATCATTCATCTTTACATGTGAATTAATGCTTATCATTGGGAAATATTTAGAATATTTTCACATATGAAATATAACCTGACCGTCTGGCAGGGGGATTTGAAAATCTGGCAGCCCAAGTTGAAATCAACCCGTCTCGGACGGTGGGGCAGGCAGGTATTTCGAACACTGTGAAAGGCCCAACTCTCTCTGTCTCATAATAGGACCATTATTATGGTGAGATTGTTTTAAGCAGCATCCTGTGACACTTGCAATATGGTTCATCAAAACTAATGGAGAATTTATTTACCAATCAGGCAATAAAAGATGTTATTAATTGTTGCAGTGATAAGAAATTTTAACTCTAATATATTCCTTCCTGATCCAGAGTGTCGAAAAAGAAACCACTAAAGCCAAGACACCAACTCCAGAAAGAAAACCAACACCCGAAAAACAGAAAACTCCGGAAAGACAAAAAACACCATCACCCGTCAAAGAAAAATCACCATCACCTGTTAAAGAAAAATCACCATCACCTGTTAAGGAAAAATCTCCATCTCCAGTTAAGGAGAAGTCACCAGTACCAGATCACAAACAGGTTTCTGAAGATAAGAAAGCTCCATCCCCCAAGAAGTCTCCCGCTCCACCCCCACCAGCTGTGGTGGAGAGCCCTGAGGAGAAGCAGGAGACTACCCCAGTCCCGGCGATTAAAGAACCAACGCCCCCCGTGGTTCCAGCTGAGGTGCCAGTTGAAGCAGCAGCTGAAGCTGTTAAGACACATGAGAAAGAGGAGAATGATCGGTCTTCAGACGAGGGCATAGGTCCGAGTGGAGACGAGAGATCAGAGGGCAGCCAGGTAAATTCGATAATTTATTTCTTGAACCCTCTTGGAGTATCAATGCAAAATAGCCCCTGTACCATATACTTTAGTTGGAGATATCAGGTTGTTCACATTGGATGATTTCAATTATGTATTTGCTATACTTACTACATATTTACAAAAAGTGGTACTTTTTCTCTACCTGGTTTGATTTACAAAGCTTACAGACTCTTTCTTCAACCGGTATATTTTCGATGTTATAGATAATTCAAAACTGTTTTTGGAAAATATGATGGATGCTTGACAGCTTTAGAAGCTAGCAGTTTTAGTCCACTAGTCCTTATAACAAACAGAAAAACCCTTGAAAAGGGCAAATTTCTAATAGTCCTTAAGATACCTTGACTGTTGGGCAGTTTGGCAAGGACCATAGGCTTAGTGCCAATTTCTATCGCTGATAGTGTATTGTCATGGTGTGGATCATTGCTTATGCTGCCAATCACTTGTGTCCCTGGCCCAGATTATATTATTATAATAAGAGCATGATTCACAAAGCTAACCTAACATGTCAGCTGTCGTTACTCCCATACTTTGTCAGACATTTTGAAATGGGGACCACACTCAGATCAAGGAAGCCCATTCTTGGTGATTTTGCTGCGTTGATATTGCTGCAAAATTTGCTGAAAATTGTGTCAAATCTTATCTGCCCTCTCATTGTTTTGAAAATTTGAAATGACATGTAGTAGTCATATGAATATTATATAAATAAAACAGTTTGGAAATTAAAACTTTTAGTTCATCAGCTATTCCTCATCATTCGTTGCTTGTGTCCTTTGTAAACACTGTGAAAATGCTGATTCATGATAATGGCATACCAGGAATAATGATGTCCTATTCCTTCAGACGGAGAGTCCCGCTAAGACACAGGAAGTGGTTGAGAAGGAAGCTGAAGAAACCACTACTGTTACAGTCGCATATGACATAGCTGATGACATCATTGATGACGTCATCAAGTCTACTCGAGTTCAGCCATCAGTGCCGAGTGTTGTGTTCGATACAATACAGGACATGACAGAGGCCCAGATGGAGGAGGAGCAAGCTGAAGCTGCCTCTGTAGCCACCTCCACCACCTCCGACACCACTGTGACCTCTTCCACCTCTGACACCACCATCACCTCCGACACAAAACCTCCCACAGAGGAGAAGGAAGAACCTGCTCCTGTACCAGCACCAGCACCAGCACCAGCACCTGCACCTGCACCTGCTCCTGCACCTACTCCTGCTTCAGTTCAAGAGGTGAAGGTCAGTGTTCCCAGTAGTGACATAAAGGTGGATGAAAATGGTAAAGATGTTATAACAATAAACGGACAGCCTGTGCCTGAAACTGGTGCTATTGTTATCAATGGACATGCAACAGTGGTCAAAGACACTGTCGTGTCGGGCGTTGGGAAAAATGAAGTGACAATAGATGAGAAGAGACAGAGTGTGATTCCAGAGACAGATCTAGACACCTTTGTGACAAAGATGACGAGTGATGACCGGTTGCCGGGTGATGGCAGGAACATAGGTTACTCTAACCCAGATGATGACATGTCTGACAAGAGGTCAGAGACCGGCAGCGCCACCACAGATGGAAGTCTGGAAAGGGAGGATTCCAAGAAGGTTGACAACAACATACAGCGCAGGAAGAAGATACGTGAGAGAAATGTGAGTATTCCAACTAGGCCTGCTCCACAAAGCGATCTCAGCACTGAGGTTGATTGTATCTTTCACACTTTAACATAGGCTTATGACAGTCCTTGTGCTGATGTCACTTTGTGGGACAGGCCCTAATCATTTAACCTTCAGGAACACATATCTTTCCATTTCAGTCCCTTGTCTCTGTACTATACTCCGTGTCATAATTGAAGGGTCACCTAGATATGTAGGGTGTCAATCATGAACTTATGCCAACAAGCATCAGTAAGGCTGAGTATGTTGCAATGTGATTAACAGTTGGATGCTTTTATGAAACTGGGAAAATGGACAACTATTAAAAACAATGAAAAGTGAAAGATTGAGGGCTACCCAAAACACACGACTAAACACATCCAGTTGTTCAGCCCATGCACGTGCAATGCGTGACAAGTTACAGATGCAACTGAACTGCACCTTTAGAAGTTGAAAATACAACATTTTTATCTCTTGTTATCTGCCTAACCCTCTCAATAATGACACTGAGTATTTTTCGGAAACCTGAATTGTTCATTTCAATCTGAGGCTCTGCTCTTCTTCTAAGTCCAGCAGAGCTCATATAAATATAGATGAACTCCAGAGGGTACAAATTTAGATGCAACTCATTGAAGTAATTTCTGATGCTTCTTCCTTCTACCAATGGTGCTTCCGGATGAGAATAGTTCCCATGACCTCATTCTGGTTGTAGGGGTCAACTGAGATAGGGCTCAGGTGGTCAGGCTCTTGACTTGACTGAGAGCATGTCATTGAGCCCTGATGGCATGGATCATTGCTCACAATGTGAGAAAGAAGCACCTGCTTGGTAGCCCATGATTACTTCATGGCACTTATTTCGAACTCTAGGTCTGTCTGGTGAGCTGTAAGATATATGAACCTTTCACCCCCATCTCAAAAGAACTTTTTGCTGGTGACTTGATATGTTTTACCTACCAGTTGCTCATGCTTTCATTCATAGATTTGCCTGGTCCAGACTTGACTATTTACTGGATGTTGTGATATGGCTGGAATATTGCTGACTGCTGCATCCACTTGCACCTTCCTCCTAGATAGACTTGAATGCAATTTTATATGGATACCTGACCCTACCAATGAATTATGATAGGCGTAGGTTTTGTTCATTTGTAGTTTCGAATTTATCTAAGTATGTGTTGCCATGATGTATCTACAATCTTGTTTTGGAAGTTAAGAACCCCTACCACTCACTAACACACACTGTCTTTGTGGGATGCACTATTACTGAAATAGCGCTAAGAAAGGGAACCTTTATATGTCTGTATTTTGGGCCACTGGCCTCTATACTGAATAAAATTGTCTTGTTTTGTCTGACTATTACTGAAGTGATGTTGGAAGATGTGTAAGTGTTGGAATGCTCCGCTTTTCAGGAAAGTAAGAGCCATTATCGAACAATGACAAAGACAAGGACGTACATGAAGGATGGCAAGTTCATCACCACGACAACGTCTAAAGTGGTGGCAGCGGGTGAAGAAAACCGTGTGAAGGAAGAGCACAACCTCAGGTAGGACCAACACTCGTTGTGTAGCAGGGTTAGCACTTAGCAGCACTGGGGTGATCATGTGACAGTGAGATGCAGCTGCCTGTATGATGCATACAACCACTGTATCATTAATTCTTGACATGTGTGTATACCATGCTATGCTGGACAGTTGTCAGTGAAATAATCAGGTTAACACATGTCAAGGTCAATAAATCATAGGTACATGGTTATCTCCCCTTCTATGTGTACCACGACAGAAGGGAGACATGTCCAGATGACAGGTTTCCTGTACTGCCTACTATCCACGGTGTGTTTTCAGTGAACTGAAATCATCCTAAATTGCTGTGTTTCCATACAGGTTTTTGGATCACCTGCGATTTGTCTGACATAGAAATTGCTAATGTCTGAGTGACAGTTATCAGGTGGCCTAACAAATTGTCAGACATTTTGTTACTATCACCTGTAAATGTCTAGTGTTTGATATTTACCAATCATAGTGACAACTGAGAATGTAGGGGCAGTATGTATCATTGTCCTGTGGCATGTTTTAATGCCTACATTGGTGATTCTGTGGCCACAATGGCTGCAGAGCATTGATAATATTCATATAGATCACTATCCTTAAAGATGCATTTTGTGTGCCATTCCTCGTCTGTATGAAATAATACCAACACTATGATGAATAGCTGACACACCTGATGAACACCTGACACAACCTGTGAAGATCCGGGCTAAAATATGTCTTCAGAAAGAAGACCTGATATAGCGGAAATAATGCTCACAGGGTACACAACTTCATTCACATTGTGTAGTAATTTGATATTGAATGTTAAAAGCCTCTAGTATAAATACATGTAGGCAATAGAAGACATCCTATATTCCCAGGCACAGATGAGAAGAATGTTATATACACATATATGTTGCACCATATCCATGCCCTGAAGCCTGCGACACAGTTATTACCCAATGGATCAGTGTGCACTCAAATTGCATTCTCAGCTCCATGGGAAGTATACATCCCAAGCTGCATGTTTGTCACTTGTAGGTTTGCATTCACGTTGCAATCTCATCCATCATGGTACATATTCACTTGTGGTCAAACAGGTCTATAGCAAACAAATCACCTGCCTATTAGCAGAGATCATAGGTTTTAATAACCTGTGATTTGCTTATCAACAATATTTCATTACTGCATTAGTAAAATAAATGGAACAATCTTGAGAATAATGTAGCAATATTTGTTTTACGTCATGGATCTGTTATCTGAAGGATGCACCCGGTACAGATGTATGAGTATTAGAAGACATATACTGATGGAAACGAATAAGGGAACATTGAAAAATACAGGGAAATAAGTTTTACTGTCAGTACATTTGAAATAGCATTCCTACAAATTGTTACAATCAAATTTTGAGATTTGTGTGCATTGTTTCCAACGCGTATTTGGAAGACAAGGCTGGGAACCCATGATAGCACATCATTTTACTGTGTCTAAAACTGAGGGTTCCCTAATTCATTTCCATCGGTATATTAAGTTGCTCTGTTCTATCCCTCAAGGACACACACACACTCACACAAATCTTCCCACACAGATGATGTGTATGTTTATGCAATCCTCCAATGAATATTTTCAATATCATGTCATGACTCTTTATCAGTGTCTGCAATCTGCAGATGACTTGTGTGAACTCATGTTGGAGTAGACCTCACAACACTGCAACATGCTGGTGGCTACCGCATGTGTCATAACAGCTAAATCGACCACTTTGTCCCATACCTGTATTTCTATGCGTATTTGTCTCTTTCAGTGTATTGGATTAGATTGTTGAATGGACTGTTACCTTTCCTACTGTGTTGAAGGATTTTGAGTCTACCAACACAACTATATAGTTTAGTCTTAACTTGTGGGCTGTTATCAGCTGAGCAAATAGAAACTGTTCATCAAAATAAAATGTTACTGCCTCAGAATTTAAGGGAGGTAACTCTGGTAGCATTAATTCTTTTAAATACCAGCTTTGTCACTATTTCATGCTGTGAAGCAATATTTCATATTGTTTATGTCAGTTTTTAATGCATATTATGAAAATGCCCATGAATGTCACCTAGACTTTAGCATAGTGTGGTATGATGAAGGTGTTTTATTCAACAGTTCATGTTGTAGTCCCAGCAGTATGTATAGATTGTCATATTGCAGTCGACAGACCCCAAGAGATCTGGGGGATCAGGTAGCCTAGTGGTTAAAGCGTTCACTCGTCACGCTGAAGACCCGGGTTTGATTCCCGACATGGGTACAATGTGTGAAGCCCATATCTGGTGTCCCCCGCCGTGATATTGCTGTAATATTGCTAAAAGTGGCGTAAACCCATACTCACTCACTAACAAGAGATCATTACTGATGTTGCTTAGCTTACGACGACTTAAATATCTATGCTGCCTGAAATGAGAAATACATTTGTTGCAGATAGATCAATGAAGATGGTGGCTTTATAAATCTTGAAAAAATAATTCATTTTTTATACTGTAAGCTGAGAAGACATATTCTTTCCCCTCTTATTTCATGTCACCTTGTAAACCCTGCTCATGTTGTGCATCTTGTCAGTTGTTTGAAACAGTCATAAGTGCTGTGTAAATTTGCAAAACATCTTCACTATCCTTCAAGGATGAAAACATATAAAGATAACAGATCTCTTACTGCCTATTCTATTCTTGAGATCCTCAGACATTTCTATCCATTTCCATCACAAGGAAGAATCATGAGAGATTGTGTAAAGCATTCTCCTGATTTGCTGGCTTAAGCTGACTTCCTGGTGTGTGCTTCACATTGAATGCACCAACTAAAAACCTGACCCTTGAAGACCTGTCAGATAATCCTGCCACCATTACGATGAAAATGTCCTCAAGATTGCTCATGCAGCTAAACTGTTGACAAATGTCTGTGGCCATTACTGTGAATAACTGGACGACCATTACTGCCAACTTCTCTACTCCCAGGCCTATGCTCCATTAGCTCACTCCCCCTTTTTCTGTTTAAAGAGAACGTTAGTCAGAATGGCTTGTATTGACATCAGGCATGGCTGTGACATGTGCCACGTACACTACCATCACAGTGGCTCGAAGATGTCGAAACAGGATATCTGTCTCAGATGATGTTTTCAAGGCAACTGATTAAAGGAAAGAAGAATGCAATTTATCGACTTGATCATGTTTTAAATAACCTGAAGTGTGAAGATAACTATTATTTCATTTTAAGCTCTAGGAATCATTACTGTCTCAAATGTCTGCAATTTTGACCAAATATTTAGAAATGGTTGATGATTGGTAGGCACAATTAGATATTTCTTTGAACTAGGAAAATCAATTTAGGAATCGTTGAATACAAGCAAATTGCAACAGTCACTTCCATCAGTTGTGATACAAATGTACATGTTTGATGGAATTCTCTAGGGATATACCAGCACAATGGTTTAATCCTTGTTGACTCGGAGCTAAGTGGACTAATGCAGTTGTATGGTGTTCCTCCACACCAAAGCTGGTGCAGATGGAAGCTGATTCATTTGCTTGTTGGAGTCCAATTCCCAGCTTTGATTGGCATCAATATTTATGATGAGCAAATTGGTCTGTCAAGAAGGGGTTTAATCCAGCGACCCATGACAACTGCCTGAATCGGCCAGGACAAGAGGGTGTTCGCAGCTGAGGAATTGGACGGGCGGAAAGGATGGTCGGTCCAAGACACAGGGATGCTAGCCAAAGTGCTCATTAAGAAGATATTGGCAGATTGATTTCCACTTAACTTGAAATGAATGTTGTGTTATGAGCCAGTATGGACCTTTGAAGGAACTTTGTTTCGGTTCAGTCAAGGCAATCTGGACATTGGTGTGTCCATCAATAACATAATGTGCACCTTTACCCAGTAGTCCAAAAGCACAAGTCTAGTCAAAATAATAATTGATGTCTAGTAAAAGTCTCAACTAATGATGTTTCATTGTTAAGAGTAAAAGCTTTATCATTGATCCTGAAGACATATTTTGGGGTCACAGGTGGCCAAGGCGTCTAAGGTGTCACAATATGAATCACTGGATTGTCTTGTCCAGACTTGTTTTTTTACAGCCTACTGTTGTAAGTCAACACTCACTCACTCACTCACTCACTCACTCACTCACTCACTCACTCACTCACTCACTCACTCACTCACTCACTAGTGCCTTGGAGGTTTCTGATTAATACAACAGTCAGGTTCGTTTACAGAGTAATGAAGTTTCAAGTTTAAACTATACATGTCATTACTAATTTGTAATGTTTCCAGAGTTTTCAGTCAGTATCTGTTACTTTTTATATGGTTTTGAAGGTAATATTTTTTGGATAGTGATGGCAAAGATGAGTTTTCTTTTCATATTGGTTTAGATTGTTACTTCCTGGGCTTAGACACCAAAGAGGCCTAGGTTAAGAGTGCATTATCTTCATGTATTCCTAATCCGACTGGTACTTCAACGGACCACATAGTTCATGCTTTATGCAGCACCCGGTACCTTTCCTTAGCTGACCACCGACTGGATTGTTTGCTGGAGCATGTACAGAACACACAGAAATGGCCCACGCTATATGGAATCAATATTGTCTAATTTGTAAAACCTATCGCCTTGTATTAATTTCCATCTAAAGTAGGGGCACTGGCCATTTACGTTATTGGTTTCGCTACTATGCTCATGTTTCAATTCATCACGCCAATCAGATTCTTCGTATTTCAACCAAAGACCACTGTGTCCATGGGAATCTTGCCTGCCACTTGTCGGGGCTCTTTCTTCAACCATTAGTTACTAGAAGACACCAACGCCACTGTTCGCACCATTGCTGTGTAGGGACACCAACCAGCATCTCTAAAGATTCATGGCATGCTTTTATTTAAGAGCTAATCCCAGAGGCACTAGGGTGTCTTGATTGCTTAAACACATTGATGTCCATCTTCATGACAACATTTGAGGCATATGAAGATCCTTTTGATAGTTAGGCAGTTAGAAAGTTAA